AAACGAGGAGCTGGTTTTTTAAAAAATTAACAAAATTGACACCCCATTGGCCCAACTAACTAAAAAAAGAAGAGAAAAGACCCAAATCAATAAAATCAGAGATGAAAAAGGAAACGTAACAACAGACACCACAGAAATAAAAAGAATCATCAGAAATTACTACAAGGACTTGTATGCCAGCAAACAGGGAAACCTATCAGAAATGGATAGATTCCTGGACACATGCAACCTACCTAAATTGAACCAGGAAGACATCGAAAACCTAAACAGACCCATAACTGAGACAGAAATTGAAACAGTAATAAAGGGCCTCCCAACAAAGAAAAGCCCAGGACCAGATGGATTCACTGCTGAATTCTACCAGACATTTAAAGAAGAACTGACTCCAATTCTTCTCAAACTATTCAGAACAATCGAAGAAGAGGGAATCCTCCCAAATTCTTTCTATGAAGCCAGCATCACCTTAATTCCTAAGCCGGAAAAAGATGCAGCACTGAAAGAGAATTACAGACCAATATCCCTGATGAACATAGATGCAAAAATTCCATAGTGGCTCAAAATATCAATGTGATGCACCACATTAACAGACTGCAGAAGAAAAACCATATGATTATCTCAATAGACGCCGAGAAAGCATTTGATAAAATACAACACCCGTTCATGATGAAAACTCTAAGCAAACTGGGTTTGGAAGGAACATTCCTCAATACAATCAAAGCAATCTATGAAAAACCCACAGCCAACATCCTATTGAATGGGGAAAAGTTGGAAGCATTTCCACTGAGATCTGGTACCAGACAGGGATGCCCACTCTCACCACTGCTATTCAATATAGTTCTGGAAGATCTAGCCAGAGCTATTAGGCAAGAAAAAGAAATTAAAGGGATACAAATTGGGAAGGAAGAACTCAAACTATTCCTCTTTGCAGATGATATGATTCTTTATTTAGGGGACCCCAAGAACTCTACTAAGAGACTATTGGAACTCATAGAAGATTTTGGCAAAGTAGCAGGGTATAAAATCAATGCACAAAAATCAACAGCCTTTGTATACACAGAAAATGCCATGGCTGAGGAAGAACTTCTAAGATCAATCCCATTCACAATAGCTACAAAAACAATCAAATACCTTGGAATAAACTTAACCAAGGACATTAAAGATCTCTACGATGAAAATTACAAAACCTTAAAGAAAGAAATAGAAGAGGATACCAAGAAATGGAAAAATCGTCCATGCTCATGGATTGGAAGAATCAATATCATCAAAATGTCCATTCTCCCAAAAGCAATTTATAAATTCAATGCAATACCAACCAAGATACCGAAGACCTTCTTCTCAGATCTGGAAAAAATGGTGCTGAAATTTATATGGAGGCACAAGAGACCTCGAATAGCTAAAGCAATCTTGTACAACAAAAACAAAGCCGGAGGCATCACAATACCAGATTTCAGGACATACTACAGGGCAGTTGTAATCAAAACAGCATGGTACTGGTACAGAAACAGATGGATAGACCAATGGAACAGAATTGAAACACCAGAAATCAACCCAAACATCTACAGCCAACTTATATTTGATCAAGGATCTAAAACCAATTCCTGGAGCAAGGACAGTCTATTCAATAAATGGTGCTGGGAAAACTGAATTTCCACGTGCAGAATCATGAAGCAAGACCCCTACCTTACACCTTACACAAAAATCCACTCAACATAGATTAAAGACCTAAATCTACGACCTGACACCATCAAGTTATTAGAGAACATTGGAGAAACCCTTCAAGATATTAGCACAGGCAAAGAATTTCTGGAAAAGACCCGGGAGGCACAGGCAGTCAAGGCCAAAATCAACTATTGGGATTGCATCAAATTGAGAAGTTTCCGTACTGCAAAAGAAACAGTCAGGAGAGTGAAAGACAACCGACAGAATGGGAAAAAATATTTGCAAACTATGCAACAGATAAAGGGTTAATAACCAGAATCTACAAAGAGATCAAGAAACTCCACAAAAACAAAACCAACAACCCACTTAAGAGATGGGCCAAGGACCTCAATAGATATTTTTCAAAAGAGGAAATCCAAATGGCCAACAGGCACATGAAAAAATGTTCAAGGTCATTAGCAATCAGGGAAATGCAAATCAAAACCACAATGAGGTTTCACCTCACCCCGGTTAGAATAGCTCACATACAGAAATCTACCAACAACAGATGCTGGCGAGGATGTAGGGAAAAAGGGACACTAACCCACTGTTGGTGGGAATGCAAACTGGTCAAGCCACTATGGAAGTCAGTCTGGAGATTCCTCAGAAACCTGAAGATAACCCTACCGTTCGACCCAGCCATCCCACTCCTTGGAATTTATCCAAAGGAATTTAAATTGGCAAACAAAAAAGCGGTCTGCACCCTAATGTTTATTGCAGCACAATTCACAATAGCCAAGACCTGGAAGCAACCTAAATGCCCATCAACGGTAGACTGGATAAAGAAATTATGGGATATGTACTCTTTAGAATACTATACCGCAGTAAGAAACAATGAAATCCAGTCATTTGCAACAAAATGGAGGAATCTGGAACACATCATGCTGAGTGAAATAAGCCAGTCCCAAAGGGACAAATACCATATGTTCTCCCTGATCGGTGACAACTGACTGAACACCAAAAAGGAAACCTGTTGAAGTGAAATGGACACTATGAGAAACGGTGACTTGATCAACATAGCCCTGACTGTTAATGAACAACTTAATACATTATCCCTCTTAGTAGTTTTTTTGTCTGTTCTACTTAATATGACTGGTTTAATTCTGTAATTAATACACAGTTATTCTTAAGTGTTGAAATTTAACTGAAATGTGATCCCTGTTAAACATAAGAGTAGGAATGAGAGAGGGAAGAGATGTACAATTTGGGACATGCTCAAGCTGACTTGCCCCAAATGGTAGAGTTAGAAACATACCAGGGGACTCCAATTTAATCCCATCAAGGTGGCATGTACCAATGCCATCTCACTAGTGCAAGTGATCAATTTCAGTTCACAATTGATCATAATGAAAGGACTAAGAGTCAAAGGGAGCACATAAACAAGTCTAGTACCTGCTAATACTAACCGATAGAATAAATAAAGGGGAGAGTGATCCAACATGGGAAGCGAGATACTCAGCAGACTCATAGAATGGCGGATGTCCTAAACAGCACTCTGGCCTCAGAATCAGCCCTAAAGGCATTCCGATCTGGCTGAAAAGCCCATGAGAGTATTTCAGGCATGGAAAGCCAAGACACTCTGGCAAAAAAAAAAAAAACCCTAAATGAAAGATCTCTGTGAGTAAGATCCCAGTGGAAAGAACAGGTCTTCAAAGAAGGAGGTACCTTTCTCTGAAGGGAGGAGAGAACCTCCACTTTGACTATGACCTTGTCTAAACAAGATAAGAGTCGGAGAACTCGAAAGGCTTCCATAGCCTTGGAAACTCATGACTGGAGCATAGGGAGATTACTGATGCCATAAACGGGAGTGTCAATTTGTAAAGTCAACAACAGGAGTCACTGTGCACTTACTCCTCATGTAGGATCTCTGTCCTTAATGTGCTGTACACTGAGGCTTAATGCTATAACGAGTACTCAAACAGTATATTTCACTTTGTGTTTCTATGGGGGTGCAAACTGTTGAAATCTTTACTTAATGTATACTAAACTGATCTTCTGTTAAAAAAAAAAAAAGAAATTAGCAATTCCCAACTTGACTCTCACTGGGATTAAACATGACAATAGGTCTGATCTGATTTCATCATCATTTAAAAAATCATCTATTATTTTTCACTTTATGTTTCTGTGTGGGAGCAAACTGTTGAAATCTTTACTTAATGTATGCTAAACTGATCTTCCGTATATAAAGAGAATCGAAAATGAATCCTCATGTGAATGGAAGGGGAAAGGGAATGGGAAAGGGGAGGGTTGCAGGTGGGAGGGACGTTATGGGGGGGAATCCATTGTAATCCATAAGCCGTACTTTGGAAATTTATATTCATTAAATAAAAGTTAAAAAAAAAAGTATAAAAAAAAAAAAGTAGAGCTACGCTGGGTGGACTGACAGACTTAGTGTTTAAGGCTGGAATCTGCAAGACTCGGTCCTGGATTGTGAGGAGTTCTTCAACTGGAAGTACTATTGCTCTCCTATGCATGTCTGGGAGGTATGTATGTTTCCTTTGGTGTTTTCTTCATACATTCATGACTTTAACGACAAGGAGGGGATGACTCAGCTGTCAAAATCAACAAACTCTGATGGTCAATCACATGTGGGAAAATAATACGACAAAGCACACTGAAAACATATAAGCTGCTATCTCTATACCATTCACTACCTTAAGTGTTATCTGAAGACCAGCTGCCTCAACATCATAGGATGTTTGCTAAGTAGGCAGAAGTTCAGACCCTGTCCCAGACTGCTGAATCATTAATAACATATTTCCAAGAATCTCAGGTAATCTCTATGCTTATTAAAGTCTCAGAAGCACAGCTTTGCTCTTCCACCTCCTCTCCTCCCCTCACTTTTCTGTTTCCAGAAGGAAGACCTATAGGTATATGTGATGAACTTACAGATGTCTTTGTTACCTACAAAGCAGTATTAGAGAAAGACAAGTCAGTCAGGAAACCTGACATCCTCTGCGTTGTAAAGGAGTCTAGAAACGTGTTCAAAGAGATGATTTCCCAAAACTACATCCAAATTTTTTTTCTCACTGGTTTACTCTAAAGCTCCAGAAAGTCCCCGTTGCATGCAACAGGCACTTCCTTTTTCTTTGCACTCCCTTTCATGCCTACAAGTAAGGGAGTTCACCCCCACGCAAGCCCAGCCTTCTGTCCAGGAGGCTAGCAGATCTTTATTCCTTTGCTCACTATATGTGCTATGTTCCCTGTTCATGCAAGTGTGGAATTGGCTGTTTTGATTCCTACAATAAAATCTGAAAATAGATACACACAAAAAACCCCCATACATTTCAGATTAAGATAAATTTATTTTATTCGCTCCTCCACTTACAACCCAGTAAACTCAGTGTAAGTCAAAGACATCAGGGACCAATGTTGTAGCTCAGAGGTTTAAGCTACGTCTGTGAGGCCATAGTCGCATATCAGAGTGCCCGTTTGAGTCCCAAATGCTCCACTTCTGATCCAACATCCTGCCGATGGCCTGAGAAAGCAGCAGAAAATGGTCCAAGTACTTGGACTCCTGACACCCATGTAAGAGACCTGGACGGAATTCCAGGCCCCTGGATACAGCTTAGCCCAGCTCCAACCACGTGGCTATTTAGAGAGTGAACCAGCAGATGGAACATCATTCTATCTTTCCCATTCTGTCCTCTACCTTTCAAATATTTCTTTGATTTTTAAAAAAATCTAATAAAAATTAAAAAGTAAGTCAAAATGCATTTAATAGCCCCTATCCTCTTAAACATTCTAGCTTAGCAGCACAGCACACTATAGACTCCATTGTTTTCCCTTGTGAGCACACTGCTGACTGGGACCTGTGACTTACTGCCCTTGGCCAACATCCTACGAGAGAATTGCATCACAGTTCGCTAGTCCTGGCAAAGATTGAAAATCACAATTTGATGTATGACTTTTATTGAATGCTTTCACACCACTGTAAAGAGGAAAAATTGTTAAGTTGAACCATTCTAAGTTGAGGACTTTTTATATTCACAAAAGGAATAAGATAAGTAAGCTCATCAAATTTTACAGTTAAGTATTCCTGTGATTTTTTTTATTATCATCTTCTGCTACAGAGTTCTCAAATAAAGTGAAGGTGTGGAGAAACAGCTGTATTAACAACAAAAGTGGAACATCTGTAACAGGAAGTACATTATTTGACCTAGGAAGCACTTCTCAATCTCACATCATGGCTTCTTTTTACCTTTCTTCCTCCTTCCCTCTCTCTTCCTTTCTTACTAATTCAAAAATACATCTCAGGGTTTCATGGAAATGAACATATTCCAGGTAATTCAGTAGGATAACTAAAGATCTATCACTTTTAAAATTCCAAATCTTTCAGAAATTTTAGTTTACACCTTTTCAAACTCTATAGTATTGTACTTCTTTTAAACTCATTCCATTTTCTGAAAGTTTCTGATTTCTAAAATAATTAATAAGCCAAAGTCATAATCTCCAGGATGTTGTCATCATCAAAATGAAATAGGCATCAGTGTCAACAGAAGCACTAACACCTGCGTAATAGTTCAAAAAGTCTTCTTTTGAAACCTGAAGGGGGAAAAGGCAAGGAAACAAAGAAAGAAATGGTGTCAAAATATGTGAGCCATAGTAGAGTGGTTTACATTCTCCCTGGGGTGTTTTCTAGTGAGTGTGATTTGCCTCAGGCAATCAAGCAGGGTAGAGTTAGTCTGGAAGAGCCTAGCTTGCCTTTCCTCTCTGTGGGGTACACTAGCAAGGGCAGACAAAGGCTTACCTGCCCACCTGCCCACTGGCCAGCCACAGTCTCCCACATTCAGCATTTTTTGCAGTAGATAAGTTTTCTGAATCTATGTTCCACTATCCAGTAAGGTAGCCACTAGCCACATGCAGGTATTTCAGTTTATACTAATTAAAATGAAGTATAAATACAAATGCATCTCCTCAGCTGTACTAGCTATATTTCAACTACTCATTAGCCATCTGTGTCTAGCAGCTGCCTTATTGGACAGCACATATAGAGACATGTCCATCATCACAGAATTCTATAGAACAGCCCTGCTTTAGAGTGTACATTGTATAATCACACTTGTGGCTATTCCTAATACTTCAGTGCGAAGCAACGCATTACATCCATTAACAGATAAGGAGCATCTTAGGGAAAGGCAGTTCTATCCCACATAAATAGAAATTGAGGGGCCGGCACTATGGCACAGCGGGGTTAAAGCCCTGGCCTGAAGTGCCAGCATCCCATATGGGCACCAGTTCTAGTCCTGGCTGTTCTTCTTCCGATCCAGCTCTCTGCTATGGCCTGGGAAAGCAGTAGAAGATGGCCCTAGTGCTTGGGCCCCTGCACCCGCGTGGGAGACTTGGAGGAAGCTCCTGACTCGTGGCTTCGGATCAGCGCAGTTCTGGCCATTGAGGCCATCTGGGGAATGAAACAGTGGATGGAAGACCTCTCTCTCTCTCTGTCTCTCCCTCTCTCTGTAACTCTCTTTCAAATAAAATAAATCTTTTAAAAAATAGAAATCAAGAGGAAATGAGACACTTTCTCAGGTGACCCAACACACGTTGCCTGACATTCAGCGGCAGAGTGAAGAGGAACTAGCCTTATGGGAAGTACTAGACCTCTTCTAGCTTCTCAGTTTGACTAGCTCGTGTGTTACTCCTCAGTTGGAGCTGTGCTTGCTATGTTGGACGATGAAGTTTAGAGCAAAGCTATGAACAGCAGGAATCAGCTCTAGGTTCTCTTGCTTTCTCCTCTCTCTTGACCTCTCCCATTACCAGCACATAGAGTAATAATATTCCCCAGAGTCCTAGAAGCACCACGCAGGAGCTGGACATTCTGGGGACTTGCTAGGCAGTAATCCACACCTGTAGGAAAAGCAACGTTCACATTAACTTTTCAAATGCTTTTTTGGCTGTCAACATAATGATTTTATGAGTTGTATTTGTTCTCTTAAGAGCATGAAAGAGTACAATATAAACAGGGGCTTGTGATGTCAAAGAAGAGATTTTATCACCTAGAGCTGAATCATCATACAAATAATATTTTTGATTGATCGAAAAGCACCATCAAGAACTGTTAATTTTTAAAGATAGATGTTAGCTAGTAAGAAGGAATGTATTTTTTGAAACACTGTCAAATTGGAATACTAGGGTTAGATGTACTCTTTTATTGCAGCAGTTGATAATCTTTCAAATATTAAATTGAAGAAGTTCCATTAAATCATAACCATTTTAATGTTAAAAGTCAGTCTGATAATGTGACAAAACTACAAGGCTGGTATTATAAATTAAACTATACCTAAGTTTGGTGTTCAAAAGTCTCAATTTCTAGTTTCTAAAAATGATAGCCCAACTATTGCCACTAAGATATATTTTTACTTTCAGTGCATATTTTGCTTATCAATAAAAGCATGTACAGCCTTTTAAATTAAATAGCTTAAGGTTTATATCACAAATGTCATGGAAATTCTTCTTTGCAATAAAGAATGTTATTTTGCACTTTAACTTCTATTAAATGCAATATAGGAATGGGATTTACATACAGGAACACCTCACTAGCTTGAGTTACAAATTGATAATACAATAAAGTATTATCAACTAACAATTGACATGGGACTGATTTAAAAGACTTGAAGGAACTTCCTACAGCTAACAAACTAACTACATCGTATATGCAAACAAGCATTTCCAAGTACTTATAAAACATAAATGAATATAGGAAGGCACAGCCTTTGCAATCTTCCTTCTGTTAGAGATTTATTTACCAACCCTCTCTCCCCCCGTTTTAGTATTGATGAAATGTGAGTAAATTTTTACTTAAACCTTCTCTAAATCAACTCGGTGGAATTCAAATTCATGGTAATTTTTTATATGTACTTAGTAACCTCTACAAGAAGGTTAAGCAAATGGATTTTGAACAATATTACTATTCTGGGCATGATTAGGTGTGAAATTTGTAAAATGGTACTTTATTTCCATTTTCCTTGAAAAGTAAAGGAATTATCTGGGTTTAATAAGATAATGCCTGACGTCTGATAATACCCTGCAGTCCTGAACACTTGATTCCCATCAATGAAGAAACACTAGGAGATTCACTACATGCCTGGAAGAAGCAAGCCCCGCCACCATCTGTTATTTCCCTTTAATTTCAAGTTCCCTTTCTTTTCTAAGGGTCTCAGAGCATTGATAATCACCAGCTTGTGGGGCATGAATGTTTCCAGAAGACCAACAAGTCAAAGCTTTCAAGCTTAAGATGATGATGCTCCCAAATCAATACTGTATCTGAATGCCAGTTGTGAAGATCAGTGAATCCCATTATGAAGAATAGGGTGAAAAATCTCATATAAAAGAAAAAGGCCATTGCATTTTACCAGCTTCCCTCCCTGCTGCACTACATCTTTGTGGTAGTTGCAAGATACACATCAACACCCTAGCAACCAGGTGGCTGCTCGTATTTTCGGTGCATTTCACTCTTGGAGAGCACTCTTTTCCCACTATATTTTGCTGAGGGAGAAAAAACCTGGCTTTGGCCAAGCAGGTGTGAGAATGAAAGAAGAAGGTCATGGTATTCTCAGAGAGGAAGGGCTGGGCTGTTTCACCACAACCTCTCACCGCACCGACTGAGACAGCAAAGCACTCTTCTCACACAGCAGTGTTCTCAGAACCCCCAAGAACCCCCAGCAATCATTTGTTTATGTTTCTTTCAACAGATTTCACTCATGATCTGTTTTTGAACAATTAATTTTGGGGATTGACTTAGTGGGGCCTTTCAATTAGAATAAAAGAACCATCTGTGTCTATCAGAGTTATATAGTTATTCACATAAATGACTTGGAAGAGTACAACCATGTGAGAAACACTGGCTTTCAAAAGGATCAATTATATGGGAACCAGGAATGTTGTATGACCAACTTGAGACCCTCAACATCCTTGTTTTTCCTTTGAGTCACAAGCATTTCTAAGATTTGAAACTGCGGCTTCATTCAACAAGTTCTTAATTTAAAATAACAGGTAATAATTTCCAGGAAAGCATGTTTGTGGCCAATTTGGGAAACTGGAAGTTGTGAGGCTTTTCATTCTGTGTTCCAAGTAGATATGCATAAGTCCAAAAAGATATACCACACAGTGGGTGTTCACAAAATTTCATGGAGTAGGAATGGAAACCCACCCACACACTATTCAAGAATACATTTGATTAATTCAATCTGTCCACTTGATTAAATATTAGCATAACAGCATTTGTAGCTTACTAAGAGTGAAATCATTGCTTGGTTGTATTTTTATGACTCAGGGAGGCCATCTACACTGGCCAAGAGAATTGAAGAGCCAAGCCAAATATCTACTTCCAGCAAAAGAAAAAGATTTGCTTGCATTGTCTATATTGTATGTACTATCTATGTTCATCAAATCACATAGTTTCCCAACACAGCACTTTATAAAAGACTCCAACTGTCCTGGCCTGGATGAGACCTGGGGAGGGAATATTGGTGCCCATGTATCCTCTACCTCTCTCTACCTTCTTTCACCTCTTAACAACTTTGAGTTGCCAGTGTGGTTTGAAAACCAATGGACTTGTTTGCGCTCAGTCTTGTTCACTGCTCTACCACCACAGCCTAGAAAGAAGCATGTGGCTCAAAAAGTAGTTATTGATGGGAGGTATTTCCATCCTCAAACCATGTGTTCCAAGCCAACCTGCAGCCTACCTGGAGGGCATCCAGCTTCACTTTCAAAGCTACAGGTAGGGTATGAAACAGGACTCTTGCCTGATTGGAAACCACACAGAACCAGTACATTGTCCTCCCAAGTGCCATCTGGGCCTGAAAAGATCCTATCAACATTTAGGTAGCTGTGAAAAACAGGCTCTTGGGCACCAACTCTTGGCAGCTGCATCAGAGCCCCTTGTCATTCTTGCAAAGGTTTGCTTTCCGGGGAGTTAGAAACTCAGATTCATGTTTTATGGATGGTTTATCCTGACAAAGCCTGGTTCTCAGAATGTTTACGTACTTCTGTCCTCCTACATAAAAAGCTGCTAATTCCATCTTAATTTCTTCAGCATGTTTGTTTATTTAATTTTCTAGCTGGGGTCCAGGATCAATAGCTGGTGTTGCCACGGGATGTTTTGGAGACTTTTTGCTGTTTTTTTTTTCTTCTGGCCCAAGTGCTTACTTTTAAATTTGTAAGTGGAGTAAGGGTTTAAATGTTTCAGTTAAATAAACAGAATATACATGCATAGATTCATTAGCAAACTATGTTTTTAATGACTCTTCCCTGTTCCTCCCCACTGCTACAAGAGTAAAGGTAAATATTGAGTAATTCCTTACTATGCCAAAAATCATAGGTAACAAAAGTGCGAGCATCCTTGACTATTGGTTTATGACGAGGAGATCTTATTTGGTAGAATCTTGCTGTTAGGCCCAGAACCAAGAAGAGAAGCAAATGAATGTGACCAAACATATTGTTGTGACATATGGTTTATCTGAAATCAAATAGCTGTGCCCTGTGCCCCCATTAGACAGGAAACTCAGTGCCACTCAGGCAGACGAAGCTGATATCTTCAACCCAGTACCTACTCAGAATCACCCACTTGCTCTATTGCCCCAGTTAGGCTAGGGCATGAGTCATATCCAGAATCAAGCAGGAGGCTTGAAACCCGCCATGCCCAGGAAACAGGAGACCCCTCCTTAGCCACAATCTGAAAGGTGCAGGGTGCCAAACACATGGATAATGTGAGTTCTTCATAACACCTGGTGCTTTTTGGCCCATTCATCTCTATCTAAGCCCAGTGGAAAGCCAGACTTGTATAACTAAATTTAAAAATAAAGCAGTGTTCTATGATATGGGAATGTGCCCATCTTCAAGTAACAGGGAACCTTTTCCAGTCTGTCATCAAGATAAATGAGAGCTAAGCTTTTCAACAAGAAACAAAGTAGTTTCCTCTTTAGTGACTGTTGTCATTCGCATCTGACATCATCGGCTTTCACAATTTTTAAACCAATGTATGTCCTGATCTCAACTTCCACATCTGTGAAATAATAAGTAAACAAGTGAGTACATATAAAACATGGCAAGTGTGTTCATCCTCTAAATCCAAAGCTACCTAACTGTATAAGAGCTTAAAGAAGACCATTAACCTATGTCCCCAAAACAGGGAATTAATACATCCAGGGACGGAGGAAGCAAAAAGAAAGGCTTCCCAGAAACACAAGGCAGGTGGTCACTGCCTCCAGCACTGTAACCAGGGATTAGTCCCTGTGTTTTTATCTCTGGCCACAGGCACAGAACACAAAGAGGAAGGGCTGTATTTTTAACATCTGTCTTCCTGCACCAGGGGCTTCCTTTCATGGGAAGATTCCCACACACCAAAAATAGGAAGTCAGACCTCACTGCTGGGGGAGGTGGCTTTGAGTCATGAAGTGTCAAGATGGAATCTCTGCACTGGAGTATGCCTGGGACACTAGTCCATGCCAGTCCCAATCTCTTTGTCCTTATGGGAACTTCAGTGATTGGCTGACCCTAAGGAAGAGATCACAGCCCACCAGGTGAAGCCCCTCTGGTATAGTGTGTCCGTGCACAGGGGAAAATCCAAGAGCACAGCCCAGTGTCAAAACTTTAACAGCAGGAATTCCCTGAACAGTCTTGGGTCAACCCTTACAGCAGACTTTTAAATGACCAAAAGCGGGTGAGTATTGTATCAGAAGTGCCAGGGTTCAAGTTCCAGTTGTTTTTTTGTGCAATCATATCTGGAAAATAGACCAAAAATAATCTTATCAAGTCTGGCTTCCTGCCAGTGCGCATCCTAGGAGCCAACAAGTGAAGGTTCAAGGACTTGGATCCTGCCACCTGTGCGGGAGGCCTAGATCGAGTTCCTGGCTATTGCGGGCATTTGAACAGGATCTCTCTCTCTCTCTCTCTCTCTCTCTCTCTCTTCTCCCTTTAAAATAAAAAAATTAATTAATCTACAACATAAGGGACTCCCCCTCAAAATTCCATTTTAAATGGAATTTGATTTGCCAAATCAAAGCTTCCTTAAACCCTGTGCAAGGAAACTCAAATTTCAGTTATAGAAATTGAGGCTAATGTATGATATCCTTCTGGTCCCCAAATGAGGAAAAAAAAACTTTAAAATTCACAATCAGTCACAAAAATAAATTAACTCTGTCATCTAGAAATGTCTAGAAATGGACTGGATACAGGAGGTATAGAAAGACTGTAGCTGCATGATTAGGGATTACACAGACAATATTCAAACTTTCATTAATAGTCAAAGAAGAAACCTAAAGTTCATTAGACATCCACATATATCCACCACACTTGTTAATTCCAGGAAAATTTGACTGATGTGGTTTTATTTAATCTGTATTGCAGAGCTAAGAAAACAGCTTTAGAGTAGATAAATTCATAATTGCCTATTTAGTGTCTTTATTTCTGTCCTTTTCTCAGCCCCAGAAAGTGCAGAGTGTTGACATGGAAAAAACACTGTGATGAACATGAAAGCAAATATGAACTTAGTTTCTGAGCTGAGGTTTAATCATATGGAGCCACGCGGCTGTCCCCAAGGCCTCGTCCCTGGGATCATGCATTTAGAGCTTCCAGGCGGTTCTCATCATGACGATGAAGTACACATCCGTGTCAATGGATGCACTTACACCTGCATAGTAGTTCATAAATTCCTCAGGGGTCACCTGCAGCAGAAATGTTAGAAACAAAAGGAAACTTGACTCACTCTTTCAGTGGAGGCCCATCTTCTGTACCTGTAAGTAGAAGGACTTAATTTTTTGGGGGGGAGTGGTTTGTGGTCATAGCTGAGAAATCAATCAAAACAAGAGGAAAAGAGAAGCTGACGAGGGCAGAGAAATTGGCACACGGGAGGTGAAGAAGAAAGTCTTGAAAATGTCCCAGCCAACCTAAATGGAGAGTAAGAACAGGTCGTCATCTTTTCCTCAAAGCAGGAACCCACCAGTTTTGATATGTGAGACTGAAATGCAGAGTAAGGAACCCATACTCTTGAACTGGAGTTAAGGTTGTCTCTCTGTGACACATGAGAAACAACATGTCATGTCCTGTGTCAGGATAAGAAATGTTTTACCTTTTACAAAACCTAGTTCTGTCCTGTGGGCAAAGGAAGAAATTCTTAGTCAAAAATGCTTGGGCCTCATGCTTTTCCAAGATACAAATTTTTCACTAAAAACATAGAATGAGCAAAAACTACCTCCTATCCCTACTTCCCTTCCCACTTTAGGTTCTCTCTGCATTCTACACCTATATCTGTCTCTTGAGAACATCAACTAATATAGGATTTCACATTACTTTGCTTTGGAAAAGAATAAAAAATGGTTACCATTCTTCCTTGTTAACAGGTGTACATAATAGGCATATGTCAAGGCAACCATATTGGCCAACATGATAAGCTGCATCAGGGAATTGCCCTCCTGTTGACCCACCCCTATGGCCAGGCAATTCATCCCAGAGTGTGAATCTACTTACATGGGAGAATGCAAACACAGTAATGATGATTGGGAAAATCATCATCCTCTAGTTAGCTCTCAATTTTCAGTGCTTAAGAGAGATGAAAACCATCATGAGAAGGGAAATCCATAGATAATTCAAAACCTCTTTCTAGTTCATAACAGCAAACTTTTCTCACCATATCTTTGGGAATATGCCTACCTCTTCTAAGAATCATAGAATCTAATGGACCCATTTGTTTTTTGTTTGTTTTGCTGAAATTCTGTGAACAGGAAAAAATTACAGGCACAGGATCCACAGTTCAGTTGTTTCCCTTGTACTACCTTCTAGCTACCCTTCTCAAAATCAGTGAAAGCCATTGGGCTTGACTAATAGTTGAGCTTGCTTATCCATGATCTGTAAACACAAATAAGTAAAAAAAAAATGCATAGGGCTAATTATTCTCTTTATAAAAGAATTTGCCACAAATTTCCACAATCAACAATTTCTTGTGCATTTAGCATATGATTCAATATTTAAATTTTGAATCACACATTACTTTTCTGAAACATTTTTATGTTGGTTAACGGAGATATCTCTTGAATGCCTTTAGCACAATGTCTAGTTGATAAATGTTCAATAAATGTTGCCCAGATTCATTGTCATGCTAAGTGAGGTTCATGTGCACATTATACTCAGTAGTTAAAAAGTCAAGTCTGAATTTTTTAGAGCTAAGAATCTCAAATATGAGTGTGCATAGGAGTCACCTGACACACTTATTAAATATGTAAATTCTGGTTTTCACCCCCACAAAGTCAGACCATGTGGTTCTGCAGTGCAGTGCAGCCAGCAATCTGCATTATTGATACATCCCTCCCTCCCCATGATGATCACAGAGTTGGGTTTTGTTGCAGGGTCTGTGGTATTCAGGTGACATTAAGGGCTGGAATTGCTTTAAACTCAATAACCTCTATGAGTATCTTGGAGAGCTTAATGTGTTTGATTAACATAAATGTCAAAGGGGCAGGGGTGGGGACTTCAAATCAGCTGAATCACAACTGACTATTTCGAGCTGGGTTAGAGAAAGGAGCAGCTGAGTTCCCCTGGCAGCGAGGAGGAACCACCTGCAGAAAGCACGCAAAGACACCCTGGAACCCAGAGACGGTTGGGCGAACGTGGGGAAATGGCAGTTGGCTATTTTTCCACCAACATCTCAGAGATCAGAGGCCAGAAATACTGGGAAAAAAAATCATACAGTTCAGTGACTTCTGTCCCCAAAGATTTGACAGCCCCACAGGGTCTAGACAGACTTCCTTTCATCGACCTCCACAATCCCTCAGCCTGAAGAAGAGGGTGCTTCTCCACCTCTGGCTGGAGGTCAGGAAATGCCTGGATCCGATCCCCCACCTCTTTCTAATACGTAGATCTCATCACAATGTGTCGTGCAAAAGGGGGAAATCCCTTTCAGAAGGAGAAGCCTGATTTCTTCCTCCCCCAAGCACCACCTCTTCTTCCCACCCACTGTCCTCCTGATCTTGACCTTTGTAGTAAAAGAGTTGGGGTGATACACTCTGGGGTGCTGCTGCTGCTGACGTTGGCCATGAAGAGTACCCCACTGCCCAGCATCGTGACTCTTAGGTCACCTCAGAGCAGAACTGACTGGTTTGTAAAAGTTCTTGTATATCAGTGTGCCTGCATCGGAGCCCCAGCTCTGCTCTCAATTCCACCTTCCTACCAGTGAGCCCTCTGGGAGGCTTCAGGTGACGGCTGAAATAGTTGGGCCCCTGCCACCCACATGGGAAGTCTCCATTGAGTTCCTGGCTCCTGGCTTCAGTCTGGCCCAGCCCCAACTGTTGTGGACATTTGGGGAGTGAACCAGTGGATGGGAGACCTCTGTCTGTGTCTATCACTTTGCATTTCGAGAAAATAAACATTTTTTACAGCCATAATTTTTATGGCTATTGGTAAAAGACACATGACAATTCCAATTTGAGCCAGACATAGTTATGGAGATAGACAATTCTTTTCCAGGCTATGCACTTGTAATGGGAAAAAAATAATTTAATGGAGATAGAGAGGTCACTTTTCGTGCAAGCTCATGTCAAAGCATGTCAAAGAACAAATCAGGCTAAATTCTGTATTTGGCATTCTCTTTACCAAAAGCTGCCTGGAAGTGGCAAAGGCAGTGGCAAGTGATGCCCAGAGGGACGAATGTGGAAGGCACTGAAACTCTCTCCTGTGAGTCCATCCCAAAACAAAAACGGTTCCATTATTGTCTTATTTTTAAGTTAAATCTGTTTTACAAGACCTGGTTCATTAGGATGTGGCTAGTTGAAGCTGACTGTTTTATCAAAATACCACATCCTCTAGATAATGGGTAGTTATCTGAATGTGGATCCCCTACCAATGTACGTGTATTTATAATGAATGTGTTAACAATGCGTTGAGATGTTTAAGGCTTTGGATCTATTGCATCCTGGCAGTTTCAAATGGGATAGAAGGAATTCCCCTTAGATTAAGTGTTTTACTTACCACTCCATCTTTCTCATAAGGAGAATCAAAGTTATCCAGAAATTTCCGGAATACTTGTTCCTCTGACCATTCTCCATTTTGGTACTTTGGATGGTGTTTTGCGTTATACATCTCACGAAGGTCTTCAATGGTTATAACGCCATCTCCAGTCTTGTCTAACTTTCTAAAAGCTTGCATAATTACCTCTTTTCTGGCTCTAGACATCGGAGGCTAGATAAACAGGAAAAAAAGCATATTCACAAACATACACAGAAAATGAGCTTTTCTTGTATTATATGTGAGGAAATACCATATTCCCCTCAATGATAAGAGATAGCACGATGGCATGTAATATTAGATGATATGCATAATGACTGCCTCAAAAAGTCTCTGAACCTGGCCACAAGGGCCTGCCCAAACTCCCCACAGTGTACTCACAACTTCTGAAATCAAACCTCAAAATAGCCAATGCAAACCACATGAGAGCCAAATTTGGCAACATTTGATTCATGGGGACACTTACTCTTAATGTGAGAAGAAATTCATTGAAGTCTATCACTCCATTTCCATCTTTATCAAACCTCCGGAAAAGCTCTTCTGCCTCTTCCTTTTCCATGACCACCGCGTAATCATTTAACCCTTTCACAAACTCTTTGAAATCAAGGGTTCGGTTGTTGTTGTCATCCATAATTCGAAATGCTCTGAAGAAAATATACACACAAAATAGAAAAAAGAAACCCCACAAATGACAGGTATAAATATGAAGATTTAAAAAGAAAATCATTCTCCAAGGTTTTCAAAGGAAAATATAAATTCTTCTCTGCATCCTTCCTTCCAAAATTGGAAACACACACACACACACACACACACACACTGTATCATTCTATTTATATAACAGGGAGCATTTTCCAGGCCTCCATTCTGCCTAACAGACCCAAGGGACACAAAGTTTTTCCATCTCCCAACTAAAGGAACATAGAAAATGTAGACAGTTACTTTTAATACCCTATTTACCCTGTTTTCCTCTAAAACCTAGCACAGAAACACGGTTTCTCATTTTTCAACATATACCCACAGACTGCCCAAAATGTACAGACATGGTATTAGCTCTTCCCAACAGCTGTGCCTAATCACTCAAACCTGGTACCCACAGCCCTCTCTATGAAAGAAATTATACATTCCTAACTTCTACTTGTGTTTACTTGTGGTACTTGAGATCCTTCCACCAACTTCATCTTACCCCATTGTGCTCTCACTGTCCCCAGAACAGCCCTGAGAACTTTCTGATTTGCTGGTAGTCTAACACCTAGAAAGAGTTCTTAACTGGAGCTTAGAAAAACTGGGCTTGAGTTCCAATTCTATTACTAAAACTAGCTGTGTGACCTTGGGAATAACAGGTAACCTCTGGGTCTCAGTTTTCTTTAAGGGATGGTTTATCTTAAGTTTCCTATTAGTTCTGGCAAAAATCTGTAATTCTCAAGTCACAAATTGTACTTTTCTTAAATGTGAAAATGATAGCCCCTTATTCACTTGTATTTCACACCTCATTTGAAGAACAGGAAAGCATACTTTGAGTAAGGGAATAAAACTGGAACTCAGGCTCCATGAGGGCAAAAACTGACTGCTTGTTTGTTGCTGGATGTTTATTAAGTAGTAACCACCCTATCAGTGTTTGCTGGCTGCTTGACTTAATGAATGAATTACCTAATGAGCACATAGCAGTGCTACAGTAAGTAAACTGATTAGTTTCCCTGTAAAACATAAGTAAATTTGAAATAAATAATTTATTATTAAACCACTTGGATCAGGGTATTTGGCCTAGCAGTTAAGACACCTGCAGCCCATATCAGAATACCTGGGTTCAATTCCTGATTCCAGGTTCCTGCTGATGTCAACCCTAGGAGCCAGCAGTGATTGCCTGAGTAATTGGATTCCTGCCACTCATGTGAGAGACCTAGATTGAGTTCCTGGCTCCCTGCTTGGGTCCTGGGCTAGTGCTGGCTGCTATGGGCATTTGAGAGTGAACCAGCAGATTAGAATGTCTCTCTCTCTCTCTCTCTCTCTCTGCCTCTGAAATAAATAAGTAAACTTTTAAAGGACATTATGCATTATATACATTGATTGGGCAGTAAGAATATGCAAAATGCTGCACTAAAGTTTGTGATGGGGGATTCAAAAGGGAGCAAGACTTCATCTCCATCCCCAATAAACTTAGAGAGAAGCAGGAAGAGAGGTAGGGGGAGGGAGAGAAAAAGAACGAGCACCATCAGCAGTTAAGAGTAAAGGGAGAAGGAGTGCATTCCAGATCAAAGCAGTTTTTAGGGGATTCTTGAGACAGCGAAAGCAGCTGGAGGACATCATGGAATTCCAATGGGAAGCTGAGTTAGTGGCAGAATAGGAGCAATGTTAAATGTGCTCTAAATGCTAAAGAGTTTCAAATTCCTTATTTATTTGGAGGCAGAGAGCACACACATGCTCCCATTCACCGGTTCACTCCCAATATGCTTACAACAGCCCCTGACTGGACTGGAGATAAAAACCAGGAGCCAGGGACTCAATCCACATCTCTCACATCAGTGGTGGGAGCCCAGTGACTTAAGCCATCACAACTGTCTCCCAGAATGCACATTAACAGGAGGCTGGAATCAAGAACTGGTATTGAACCCAGGTACTCCAATGTGGGGTACAGGCATCCCAAGCAGCATCTTAACTGCTACATCAAAGGCCTGCCCTTATGTTTAATTTAAAAAAAAATAGTTGAGTGGTTTTCACAAGTGATATCCTCCGAATAAAAGCTTAAGAGAACTCTAGCAATGGCAGGAATGAATGACAAAAAGCATGGAAGCAAGGGAACCAGCAAGAATACCATATGGTGAGAGTCCAGGGGAAAGATGTGAAATGTTTGCACTTGAGCAACTGAAGTAAAAATAAGAAAAGAGGGGCTGGCGCTGTGGTGTAGCAGGTAAAGCCATCCCCTGCAGTGCTGGCATCCCATATGGGCACTGGTTCAAGTTCCAGCTGCTCCACTTTCAGTCCAGCTCTCTGCTACAGCCTCAGAAAGCAGTGGAAAATGGCCCAAGTCCTTGGGCCCTTGCACCTGAGTGGGAGACCCAGTAGAAGCTCCTAGCTCCTGGCTTCGTATCAGCCCAGCTCTGGCCATTGCGGTCATTTGGGGAGTGAACCAGCGGAATGGAAGACTCTCTCTCTCTCTCTCTCTCTCTCTCTCTCTCTCTTTCTCTGGCTCTACCTCTCTCTGTAACTCTGTTTTTCAAATAAATAAAATAAATCTTTAAAAAATAAATAAAGAGATTGAAAGATAAAATAGAAGTAGAGGAGTCAATCTGAGGGGTTAATGAAGGTAATTCTGAGGTTTCCAACCAAAGGAAATGTGCAAACTGATGATAGCATTAAAAGGGTGGGTGCTGCAGGAGAAGTTGTGTTTGCAAGAGGGCAGGATGAATTTTTATTTGGCTTTGGACAGTAAGCCAACTAGGCAGAGCTACTCACCATGTCATTGCTTAGGTGGGAAGGTAGTATTCTTCCTGATAAAAGGCAGAAGTAGGGAAATGAGTTTGGCACTCAGGAGAAGATTCAATGCCAAGAATGTGGCAAGGGGCCAGGGTAAAATTTAGCTAACTCAGGAGTAGGCAAGATGTATAGTGAACTAAGGATATTGGCAACAGAATCTTGGGAAATATCTACATTTATGAGGTAAGTGGAAACTCCAGCAAAAGAGCATGCACTGCTAAAACCATCAGAATTTGCTGTCAAAAACTGAAGGTGTCAAAATGATGGAGGCACCCTGACCTTGGCCAGAATAAAGACTCGAGATAGGATAGAAAGTTTGGGCCAGGAGCCCACACTTCTCAGGATATTGGGAGTCCTGGAGGTTGGCAAATGGTAGGACTTAGCCTTCAAAAGAAATATCCTTCAAAGACGGGATTTATGGGGAAGGGATAAGTGAACAAAGGTGGGGGACTATTACCTGGGACTGCAGAAGTGCATTTAGCCCTCAAATGACTCTAAGAAGTAGACAAGAAAGGGAAGCTTCTACTTGCAGAGAATTAGGGAAGGCCAAGGACATAAAGGAAACAGAGGGCACAGTCCAGCAACAGGCTGAGGATGAGATGGTGTCTGTTAACACAGATTGGTTCATGATGGAAGGGCTGATGTAGGTGCAGCATGAGAATATAAAGATGACACAGGCAGGATGAAAGAAGTATGACTGTAACCATATTGAATGAGTGGGCAGGGGCCGGCACTGTGGCAGTCCAGGTAAGGCCACCACCTGCTATGCCAGCTTCCCATACGGCCACCAGTTTGAAACCCAGCTGCTCCACTCCCAATCCAACTCTCTGCTAATGTACCTGGGAAAGCAGTAGAAGACAGCCCAATAGGCCGGCGCCGCGGCTCACTAGGCTAATCCTCTGCCTTGCGGCGCCGGCACACCAGGTTCTAGTCCCGGTCGGGGCGCCGGATTCTGTCCCGGTTGCCTCTCTTCCAGGCCAGCTCTCTGCTGTGGCCAGGGAGTGCAGTGGAGGATGGCCTAAGTGCTTGGGCCCTGCACCCCATGGGAGACCAGGAGAAGTACCTGGCTCCTGCCATCGGATCAGCACAGTGCGTCGGCTGCAGCTCGCCGGTGGCGGCGGCCATTGGAGGGTGAACCAACAGCAAAGGAAGACCTTTCTCTCTGTCTCTCTCTCTCACTGTCCACTCTGCCTGACAAAAAAAAAAGAAGAAGAAGAAGAAGAAGAAGAAGAAGAAGAAGAAGAAGAAGAAGACGGCCCAAGTCGCTGGGTCTCTGTACCTATGTGGGAGACCCAGACGAAGCTCCTAGCTCCTGGCTTTGGCCTGAGCCAGCCCTGGCCACTGTAGCTATTTGGGAGTGAACCAACAGATGGAAAACCAATTCTCTCTCTCTTTCAAATAAATAAATAAATCTTAAAGAAGAAAGAAGAGGAAGAGGAAAGAAAGTGGGCAAATCTTTCCATTGCACAGTGACAACCTAGCCCTCAGAGTCCATATACCCACAGTCCAGGCTTGTGACAGAGCCGGGCTTGACCTCAGAGTTGGGGATCCTCAAAGAACTATCCCAGGTGCTCCATTTCTCTCTTGAGGTGAAGCCCTCCACGGCCTCCCGCCTGGCCCATGGCAGGCACTTGGTGTAGTTTGCTATAATGTGCAGAACTTGCCACCAGGAGGCATATAGTCTCCTTCCCCTTGGGTTTCCCAGTCCCGAGAAACTTGCACTATCAGTAGTCAGGATTACAGACCCTAGCAGCTGGAAGATCCCACACCCAGTGAGCTGCCAATTCTCCAACAGGCAATTCCAGTGTCCCTGGAAGTGAGTAAGACATGGCTGTCTTTGGGCAGAACTCCAGACTCTGCAGTTGCCACCAAATCACTGCTCCTACCTTCCTCTTCCAACCAGACTCCATTATCACAGCTACAGAGAGTGTGTTCCTCATTGTCCCTCTAGGTACCTCTACTCCCTCCTCACATATCTCCCTACATCTAAAGTTGTCCCAGAAGCTGCACTCTCCTGTAGCACACATGGGCCTTGCTGAAATTGGATCTAAGAGCCAAAGCGTGTCTAAGGGACCTCAACTCTTCCAAACTCTGCAACTCGCAAACAAGGAACTGAGGTCCTTGGAGGAAATCACGGGCCCAAGATCACACAGTCAACATGAGCCTCACAGGACGTGCCCTACCTTTCTACCCACTCTTCCTACCACCTCACAGCAGGGTCCTACCTGCCAAGTCCTTTGATGCCAGCAGAACCCCTGGCCAGGCACTGCAGTCGCAGTCTTTCAATGGGGTCAGTGGCCGTGGTGAGCTTCTTCTTGGCCTGAATCGCCATCTCTCGGTCATGGCGTGCTGTCCCTGCCATCTGAGAAGAGGAACCACAACACAATGATGGAGTTCAGTCCTCACCATCTGCTTGTGCCTGAGCAGGGCGACAGTGGCCTCACTAAGAAGCGTATTTACGCCTAGCTCTGTCATCAAACTTCCCAGGTGCAGTCTCCCAGAGCCTGCAGTGCTAACTATGCCAACTCTGCACCCGGCATGTTTATTACCTACATAGCAAGTCTTGAAAACATCTGTTTTCTCTAGCCTGGAAAGACTGTTAAACCCACAGCCACTTCCTTATGGCCTTTGATTTTTCTGGAGCCTTCCTCCTGCCACAGAAAATAAGTCCAATTTTTCTATGCTCCCTTTTTTGAACCAACATGTTACGTTGTGTTCTTTTATTTCAATTTCTCCTTTTTCCCTTGACCTTACATTTAATATTCTCCTCTTTGATCTAGACATTGATTTTTATTGCTTCCATCTTAAGATTCTCAACACTTGAGCCTTAATGATTCTTACTAGTAACCAGTGTGTTCCCCTTGATGAACAGGTTAGTATCCCATTAACACCAAGCAAAATTATCAGGGCATAAAAAAATGTTAAGTAGATACCGTCTCTCACCTGACAAATATACATAAGATTTCTTTCTTCTCAGTGCTCACTTGTGTGTTTTAAATATTCAGAATTAGGAGCAAAAGTGGTGCAGAGACAGGCTACCTCCTGAGTGTCACCAGAAACGTGCGCACTGGTGCAGCTGGACTTCCTTTTCAGAAACTGCACAACAGTGCGAAGAGCACGAGGCCTGGCTGGAAAGCTGTGTTCTAGTGCTGCTTCTTCCACCAACTCCTAGTGACATCTGAGTGACTCTCGGGGTCCCCACTGGCTCCTCCTCTGTTAAGCTGAGGGATTGGATTAGAGGATCTTTAGATTCCATCCCAGCTCCCCAAACCCCTAGTCCTCATGAGACCACTGAACCAGTACATGAAGATTCTAGAAGTTACCTTAGTGTGATTTGTAAGTGCAAAGACCCAGGAGCAAAAGGGCTTCAGAAATGTGCAGACAACAGCGTTCCAGGTGCAGAAAACCTGGCATTAGAGAGGCTTTACCCTTGACGCCAGGGCTCCCTCTCTGACAAAATCCCTGCATCAAGATGGAATTATCTTTATCAAAGATGGTAACTGTAAGATGTGTACCCTCTCCTATGACAAGGCTGTCACTCTCTCATATAACCTCCCAGATGTCCCCTGCAAAGTACCCATTACCTACCTTTTGGGAGAGTTCTCAACCCAAGGCCAGAATAGACAGTTCAGCAATGCACATACACCCCTGGGCCCACTGAGCATCCTCCCACCAGCCAGTGTACAAAATCCCTCCTTCCTGCCTTTCTTTCTGGTTCCCACCACACAGATAAAGAAAGGAGCCCTTCCTCCCAGGTCCCTTGATGCCTAGGGAAGGAAAGAGGTCTTCACCTAGCTGAGTCCTGGTGCCTCAGTCCATGCTCCACCTACAGCAATGTAGAGTCTTCCTCTGTTGTCCCAGCACCTAAAATGATGTCCCTGGAATTCCAGGTGGTGGCACACATGGCCCTGAAAGACCTCCACTCCATCTACTTCAAGCCTATATGGAGAGCATCCATTTCTCATCCAAGAAAGACATCTGCAGTTTTCATTGGTTGCCTTCATGACAGTATTAGCTTTCTTAAAACTGGTGTTTGCCTGTTCCTATTTTGTCACCTGATCTCAAGCTGACAATTTCCAGAGTTCATCTCCAGCTTCTAGCCCTAACTCTACCCTCACAGAATCCCTCATCCACAACCAGAATCCTGAGTTCAAGTACAAGAGCAGCAATCCACTCATCTAGCCATCCTTTACTTGTCCTTGCCATGAGCATATTCTGCTAGTGACACAGTGCCTCTACCCCATTCCACCTCCTCCCCTGCCTCCATGGAAGTAGGAACTTCTCCTTCTCTAAACTCATCTCAGGGGCTCACCCCTTCCCAGAGTCACTGCTGTCTTTCCTGCCCATCTGCCTTGCTCCTTGATGCTTACCCAGTGGTCGTCCCATCATCCACCTTCTCTTCCTTCCCTATGAATTCCCCCCTTCCTTGTACACTTTGCTGTTCTTGCTCTGGCTTTTCCATCTTTAACAACTCCTGGGGAATGAACACAGACATAGTAGGGAGGGAGGAAGATCTGAGACAGATCCAGTGGCGCGCTCTTCACCCATCTTCAGATCATAGTAAAGGCATCAGTTGCTAACATACATCGTGCCCCTGCTGGGTGGTAAGCGTGCATCCAGTCCTTACAAGAACTCTGCTTGCTGAACTTGAAACAGGGACTCAGATACACACATACATACACATATCTACAGAGGCATCATTCACAACGGGCAATAGAGAAGCAAGCCAAGTGTCCATCCCAGGATGAAGGGCTACACAAATTGTGGTCTATGCATCCATACAGTGGAACAGTATTAGACCATAAAAGGAGTGAAGTATTGACACATGTCACCACGTGGATGAACCCTGCCGACATCACACTGAGTGCAACATGTTGCACATTGTGTGATTGCATTTCTATGAAATTTCCATAATGGTCAAATTCATAGAGAAAAACAGTTCATTAGTGATCACCAGGGGTTTGGGGAAGACAGGGGGCAAATGGGAGAGGCCACTTAATAGATCTGATGCTTCCTTTTGGGTGGTGAAAATATTTTGTAACGATGCGGATCATGGTTAGACAGCATTGTGAATGTACTATGCATTGCTAAATGATTAACTGTGTGCTATGTGATTCTCATCTTAATTTTTAAAAGATTATATTTTAATTAGCTATATACAATCATTATACTATAAATACATAGGGGTGTGTGTGTGCTTCAAAACTGCATATTGTACAGAGCAAATACAATTTCATCTGTCAATTTAAATAAATAAAATGTTTTCCTGGAACACAGTGATCTTGGCAAATGGGTTAAAGCAAAAACACCCATGAAGTAGTTTCTACTCGCGTTAGTATTTTGCAGATCAAGAAAGTGGGGTGCTGACGGGGCTGGCGCCGTGGCTCACTTGATTAATCCTCTGCCTGCGGGGCCAGCATCCCATATGGGTGTCAGGTTCTAGTCCCAGTTGCTCCTCTTCCAGTCCAGCTCTCTGCAGTGGCCTGGGAAGGCAATGGAGGATGGCCCCAGGTGCTTGGGCTCCTACACTCACATGGGAGACCAGGAAGAAGCACCTGGCTCCTGGCTTCAGATCGGCGCAGCACCGGCTGTGGCAGCCATTTTGGGGGTGAACCAGTGGAAGGTTCTGTCTCTCTCTCACTCTCTATATCTCTAACATGTCAAATAAATAAATAAATAATATAAAAAAACATTTTATAAAAAAAGAAAGTGGGGTGCCGAGAAATCAGGTCATACAGCAACGTGGTGCTCAGTAACTCACCCCCTTGTGTTTCAGACTTGCAGATGTGGTAGTCTGCTTTCTGTCACTGTAACCAAATCCCCGTGGTCAGGTAACGCATAGAGAATACGCACTGATCCGACTCATGGTTCTGGAGGCTGGCAGGGCCGGCATCAGAGGCGAGTCCTTGCTGCTTCACCGTGTGGCCAGAGGCGTCTGAGGGTGGAACAGAGCAAGCGAGCCAGCTCCTCGTCCAGAGCCACCAGGGCCGGCCCATGACATCATCTCATCCTGATCCCGATCGCCTCCCAAAGGCTCCACCTCCAACACGGTTGTCACATGAACTTGGGGATCAAGGCAGCACTTGAGCTACCGGGGGCACATTCAAGCCATATCGCATTAGCAACGACTGGCCCAGAGGTTCTGGCCAACATCAAAGCACAGGGCTTCGTGCACCTACTGTGTTTGTGAAATGATGAATAAGAAGTTCAGAGCACAGTGTGACCCGCTTTCCCATAGGAAAGAGGATGGAGCCCAGAAAGACAGGACCCGGCGCCCAGGATCCCACGCTGTGCTGCACCACGGCTCACCCACCTGCGATGATGTGGGGAGTTGCCGCGGGCACCCTTTTTAATCACGCAGTCATCCCATTCAACCAACAAATAGTGAGTATTTACTGTGAACTATGTCCAAGGCACTGTGCTTGATTGCGCAGGGTGCAGGAGCGTGAGGGATGAATCAGAGAAGCAAGCCCCGGGAAAGCCAGAATCTTAGTATGTTTGAATCCTAAATCCCCTATTTAAGAAAAAAAAAAAAACAGACGCTTCTCTGTTCCCACACACGTGTCACTGACATCCGAGTGCCACACTGCGTGTCCCTGGCTCCAGAGGACTCTGAACACTAAGGAGCCCGCATGGAGACAACAGAGCCCGGCAAGGCCAAGAAGGGGCTGCCCTGCGGATGCCGTGCCCACAGCGCCACCATGTGGTGGCTCGACGTCTGCGCATTTCACCTCGGGTTGGTGGATTGCTTCAACAAACGTGGAAGAATTGAGTATGTTCCCGTGCTGGACTAGCTAGGTGTGGCCCAAAGAGGGGACAACGTGCTTAGAGGAGAGGGGTTCAATCCCACGACTGCACTGCAACAAATCCCAAGAAGGAGGCTAACCCAGCTTTGCAGTGCACCTTTCTGAATAGCTCTAGGAGGAGGCGGCGACCAAGTTTAATCCTAATGAGAGGAGGCAGCAAGGAGGCTGCGGCTGTGGAGTAGAAGGAAGAGGACTGTGGATTTTAGACAGCAGGTGTGCCAAGTGCTTAGGTTGAAGTGAAAGAGAAAATAGAATAGAAAAAAGGTGTATTTTAATGATTGGAGAACAGGTGTTTAGAGGGGGATAAAGAGTGGGGAGATCGGGAGGAGATGGAGAGGGGAGCTCTGGGGGAGAATGGAACCAGGCTGATAAGCAGGCACCACAGTCTCAAATAGCTGTGAGGCCACAGTGGGGTTTGGAGTTTGAGCTGAGAACATTGGGAGACTACAGGGAGACCCTTGGGGTGCAGGGAACTTCTGGACAGGGAAATGAGACAGACCAACCAGTAGGATGTTGTTGCATTCAACCATGGGCAGTGTGGACAGAGACAGGAAAG